ACTCCCGAGGGTAAAAATGTACAGTCTGTTTCATAAGAGCGTTGGAGCTATATCTAAACAACAAGTAAATATTTTGTAAAAATTCAAAGAGGGCATCAAAGTTTATTTATAATACTACGTCGCAAATACCTAATATTGTGTGAAATCTCCTTTATTTTGTAGTATAGCCTCACAGCGTTTTTGCATACTTTTGACGAGGTTTTCAGCGTATTCCATTGGTAATGATCTCCATAAAATTCTTATTCGGCGGCATAATTGTTTCAGGGTGTATACTTGTTTTCCCTGAAGCCTTATCTTAAGAATTGCCCATACATTTTCAATGGGGTTCGCGTCCGGTGACTGTGAGGGCCAGCTTAAAACATTGTACCGTTTTCTTTTTTCCACTCGGTGCAAAGACGGCTGCGGTGTTTCGGATCATTGTCCTCTTGTAACACCCACGAAGCATTATTGTCACCAAACCACACTCTAGCTGATTTCAACAAGCATTTTTCATAAATTTTTACCATTCTTTCAGCATTCAAATTTTCGGTGAAGAGAAACAAATTTCCAAAACCAAGGGAACAAAAGCATCCCCAAACATGGACCTTAACTGGATGTTTAACAGTTCGTTGTAGCATCAGATTATGTTTGCTTGTCCAGGCTTTCTTTTTAGGTACCCACGCCCAAAACGAGGATTCGTCAGAAAAGATTACATTGTCCCAGTTGCAATCAATATTTTTCTGGGCCCAAGCGTATCTTCTAATCGCCTTTTTATTGTTGAAACGGCAAGCTTGATTCCTTTTTTTTCAAGCTGTTTTTGAGCTTGTCGTAATGACAGCGACGGATTTTTTTCGAACAGTCTTAGAATCACTTTATCCTGTCGCTCTGTTGTTCCACGTTTCTTCCCTCTTCCTTCAAAGTCATCAACGTTTTTCACTAATTTATAACGATTCACCCACTTTCTAACAAACTCTGTCGATTTCCTCATATAACGAGCCGTCGCAGAAAAGCTTAATTTTGGACCTTTCGGATGCGTACAAAGAAATACAGCTTCGTATCGCCTAGCGTACGCCGCACTCATTTTTAAGCATTCGATCGCTCGGGCTGACAAACGAATACTGCTTGAGTATGGGACGCGAGTCGAGTAACGCGATGCTCTTTATAAACATCTGAAGTAGATCTGATAAATGTTACCGCTCTTCTAGCTCCGTCATTCGAAAAATCGCTCCAACGCTCTTATAAAACAGACTGTAAAACTTTTTATAATACCAAAAGGTGGAACAAAGTATGTTCAACCACTGGATGTTTACGGTTTCCGCGCTTGGAAAAATTTCGTCCGCCGATTTTCCGATATAGTTCTCGTTTTAAATCACGACATTAATCTCCACGCTAGGAATAATATAATTAAACTTCAATCTCTGGTCCACAATCAATTTTCATCGCCAAGGTTCCAAAATTTTATTAAATACTCCTGGTATAAATCCGGATATATAGATGAAAAGCCAAATGCATTCCAGAATCCTGTTGAGTACTGCTATTCTGTTGAAAATGAGCCAACATGTCATATTTGCGGTGACGTGGCAATAATTAAATGCGCATGGTGTAAGAAATCTTTATGTTTCAAACATTTTTTCGACGAGTACCACTATTGTCGGAACTATATAGAATAATTGTTATACACACTGCATATATTTATAATTTATAAATCGCTCCACCTTTGCCACGATGTCATAGGTGGGCAATAAAAATAATTAATCCTTTCGTTGCTGTTAAGAAACTTGTTACTGTTATTATTACTCGATACTTATTACTGTATAATTTAGTGCAAGCCTACAGTGCTTCATTAAAATCAAAGTTAGAACGGCTACTACCATAATGGATGTGCGCGCAAGATGTAAATCATCAAAATATGCAAAACTGTAGGAGGCAATTTTAAAAAATCGCATACCAATGGATTTGGAATAAAATGCTCGTCATTTTTTGTCATTATGAAAATTTCAATAAAATGAAAAATTAAGTTAATAAATTTTTTTTTGTTATAAACAAATTGTATTTTTTTAAATTTTATAACACCATGTTATTGTACATAAGAAACCATTAACCTCGCCCATTAACAATTTTTTTGTATCTCTTTCCGTTTTCGAGATAGCCGTTTCGAGCCAAAACTTCAAAGTCGAGTTACCGCAGCTAAAAAAAAATACGTGTCGATTATTTTTGGCTGCTTTATAAGTGTACAAAGTTTCACCAAAATCGAAGCCGGACCGTTCGCGATGGTTCCTTGTAAGTCCAGAGGAGAGACTCGAACCTATGGTAAAAAAACTTCCAGCGGTTCTACAGTCGGGCACTCTAACGCTGCGCCATCGACGCCGTTGAAAATATCGTTGACTTTGTAGAGTATATGCACCCAATGGTTGGCTTTATTTTATTTGTTTCAATTGTTATGTAATTCTGCTTAGTGTAGAAACATTAAACAGTCTACAAAACACACATATATTGAAGAATCCATAAAAATTCAACGTGTAAGTTACTCTAATCGCAGAAAATGAGGAAAAAATCGGTTTATATTTTTGTTCACTGCGGCGCACCAAAATGAAAAATCTAAAAAAAATGAGAATAATAGTAATAGCAATATCTGTTTACTGTAAAAGTATAAAAGTAGTTCCGCACCTCCTTTAATACGTAATCGGCATTTTTCGGCATTTTTTACGGATTTTTATTTTTTACCACCTGGTTCTTCAATCAAAAAATCTGAAAACCTCCCAAAATATGTGCCCCGTAACCCGAAATGTCTCTAAATTTTTTTTCATTTTTTTACTCAATAGATCAAGAGAAATTGTACATAAACATGATTTTCGTTTTAACCCTATTACTACCCCCACGGTCGAGATTTCAAGTTAAAAATTGGCACACAGGGTATTTTTTGGATAAGCTATCGAATGACCCATCGTTCGTTCAATTCGATTTGGAGGTACATTTGACCCCCTTATTTGGTTATACCCTTCAAAACATTTAAGGATAAACTAGTAGGTTAGAAATTAATAGTATTATTAACGAAGAAGTTTAAGATTAAAGGGGTGTGTTAGAAGTAACCTCAAAACTTGGCGCGCATTTACTTGGTTGCGCACGCATATGCATATATATATATTAGTATAAGTATAAGCCGGAAGGCCATCTTGTTCTGTTCTGTTCGTTACTTTTCCCGTCATTCGCTATCCAGATATAGCTTAAGAACCTGTGCAGCACATGGTAGACTAAAATCTTAGTTTCAATTTTTGTTTCAAAGTGTTATTATATTTCATGTTATATTGTTCTTTTCTTTTGGCAATAAAGCCGAGTTATACTTTTTTCATTTTGTGAAACACGTGTTGTCATTTAAAAATCTAACAGCCACTATAGTTAATTATTACTTCGCGTCATTATTTTGAGATATCTTAGTTTTTAAATATATTAAGCAAAAATCATATTATCCAATGCTGTAGAAGTACAATGTTGTACAAAGGTTTTCGCAATTTTCTTATCGTGCTAAAGCGAAACCGTGTTATAAGATGTCGTGTTGTAGGAGGGCTACCTGTACTTCAAAAACTACTGGAAGAAAGATAACAAAAATAAGCTATTAAACTAAGATTTTATAAAATAAAATAATTAAATAAGAGAATTATATACAAAATAAATCATAATGAACAATCAAAATGAATAATACAAAAGAATCTAGCAGAAAATTCTAGTATAACTGTCAAGGGAAGGAAGAAAGCATAGAACACAAAACATGGAGATGCCCACTAATAGTGAAAGAAAGAAACAACTTAGACAGGAAACTGCAGGAAGAAATAAAAGAAGTGAACACAAATACAATAAAACTAATAAATCTAAAAACTGAAGAAGTATTGAGATGTACCACCAATTTCTTTAAAGAAGCTAGAATTATAACAGTAATAAGAAAAAACACAGATAACTAAAAATAAAATACAAATATAGGCTATAAATACAGGGTGTTCTGCTACCTATGGGAAAAATTTTAATGGGAGATTCTAGAGGCCAAAATGAGACGAAAATCAAGAATACTAATTTGTTGATGAAGGCTTCGTTAAAAAGTTCTTATCGTTTAAAATTCCGCCCGTACTGAATTTTTTTTCTCGAAAATATGCAGGATTTCGGGGGTATGTCTATTCATAAAAAATAATTGTAATTGACCCTCGCAACCGAAAATAATTTTTCCAGAATGATTTGAAATTTTTTAATTTAATTTTTTAATAACTTTTTAAAGGAAGCCTCAGTCAAAAAAATTGATATTCTTGATTTTCGTCTTATTTTGGTTTCTAGAATCTGCCATTAAAATTTTTCCCAGGGGTGGCCGAACACCCTGTATAATTACAGACTTAGGTATAGGTAGATATAGAGAGAATATAGTACAATTAAAATAAAATGTAAATAGTGCATAGGATTCGGTATAGACATAAGATAATAACTAAAATAAGTAAAATGAAATTTGTTACTTGTAAATAGTATAAAAATATCAGAAGATAATGCACAGAATAAATAAAACTGTGATTATAAAACTTTTAAATGTAAAAGAATGAGTGATAACCAAAAGAACAGAAAACATAGCAGTATGGGGTGATCTTTAAACGCTTGTCCTTTTATTAAGAACGTAAGGACAATAAAAACATTCATTCATTTTACTAGGCCAGTATTTCAGTTTGCATGACACCAACTTCCATAAGATACGGTCTATCCTATACCTGGTCTGTGTTTTAATTTTCAGCAATGAAAAGGAATCTATGTCACAATTTTCTGTTATTATAAGATAACATAAAGAAACACAATATATTTTTTCGAAAATAGAAAATTGTAACATTTATACAGCGTAGTATCTTTTTATCGCTTTAACTCTAATTATAGTATTTCTAATAATACTGTTCTGCTCCTTATTGTTTTACTAAATATTATCATACACTTCATGTTTTTCAATTCATTTTAATCAACATTTAATACAATAATCAAAGAAAATGATAATTTTTTACCTTCAGTTGACTTATAATGATTTCCAGAGGATCCGTGTTGTGCTTTTTACAGGACGCCTTGTACGCAGAGATTAAATCTTCCTGATTCACATTTTCAGCTGTAAACAATCCATCAATTCATAATAAGTACACTAAAAAGCCTTAGGAGTATTAAGAATTAGATGACCAAAGGAAAATGATTCCATAAAATTATAGAATATCAATAACTGAATTTTGTGTTTCAATTTATGTTCGCATTTCATAAGTGTAGTATTTTTTAACACGTTCACTGCAGTATTCTTATTGGCGACTCACCAAGATTTTTCATTTCGTGGCAATGACATGATTGTTAATTAGTGCCTACATTTCCATCGAATGATCACCTCGCTATCACTATAAAGTGAGTTGATTAATTTGACCCTGGAAGAAAAGGATCAAGACTAAATCAACTCCATATTTCTCTTTAAGACAGTGCAGCTGAATATTTACTTGCATTCTGCACAAACACGAATCGAATACATGGTATCCTGCATTTTTTGTGAAAACAAAACTAGAACATTGAACGAAAAGTCTGTCTTAACCCAGTAACTACCAACTTCTTTTTAAAAATGTTTATAAAATCCTGTAGATTTTAGTTGTTCTTCAAAGAATTCAATTAAAATATATTTTTAAAGTGGAAATAATGTGTTATTGTGTCTAAAGATATACAATAATTTTTAGAAAATATAATAAATGAATCAAAGAAAAAGTGGTGTGGTTAAATATGTGTAATCTCCAAATGAAGACCATGGTAGCTAATCAAATAAGTCTTCCTCAACAAGTTTTAACAACAATTATTAAATTTAAATGCTTATATTACCATTTCAAAGTATCATAATAAATTTTGTATTGACTTACTATTCAAATTAGGTTGTAATATTTAATAGCAGTAGCTCTAGAACCTTGTAAAATATTTCTCACATTTTCAGGAGTGTGATCTGTGAATTTGCAAGAAAACCAAAACTGAATTTCTCTAAATAATCTATGATTCTTATAGATCATCATGTATTCTGTAAAGATTAAGTTAAATTTCTCTCACATGTTCAATAAAGAGTGCCAAGAAAACTGCTATGTTATTGCAATACCCTTTTATTAGGAAACATTTCGCAATATTTTCTAACGATAGATCTAGAATCTTTTATATACCTTTTTGATTTTTAAGACTGCAATCTGTCGCTTTGAAAAACAAAACAAAACTGAATCTAAGTTTGTAGTACAGCTTACAAATTGTAAAAATAGTAAACGAATTCTTGTATCTTATCTTGTCATTGAATTAAAAGAAACGATATTCATATATTTGTTGTATTTATTGCAATTTCTTAACAAAGCATGCACAGACCTTTCATTAAACAAGATTTTAGTATTATTTTTACTTTGCAGAATATATATTAACATAAAAATGCAGGATGTAAATGTTAATAATGTGGTAAAAATTTAATACTTCTTTTGAATAAGCTCATTTTACTTAAGAAGTAGCATCCACAGAGAACGTATTAATAGAATAATATAAACCAAATTGTGAATGCTGCAAAAGTTTACACGTATATTGCAATTTTGCTTTGAAAAATGTTAACTGATTTTTCTGAAACGCATTTGACACTGCATTTACGGAATCTACTAATGTGATGGATTTTAGATTCGCTTAATGTTGTAAATATTATTTATTAACAATTTACGTTGAACTTGATCAAATATATATCCTAATTAAAAGAAAAACCATTTCTTAATGTAATCATCAATTTGACAGATTTCAATCAAAATATGTATTAATAATCTAATGTTAAAATAATGATCGATACTGAAATGAATTATGATCTAGCAAATATGGAAAATTGTTTATTATTTTGCAATATAATTTTAAGTATATTCTTTGTTATACTAGATTAAAGGAAATACTTTAACAGTTGTGGGTTAATTATATATTGTGCATGCTTCAATATTGCATCAAGTTTATAATTAGTATACGGTTCTTGTTGCGAAATTTTGAGCGATCTTCCATCAACACGACCTATAAAGAAGCTTGATAGCTTGGTAATACATATTCACAATGCAAGTAAATAAATATAAAAAAAGAATATGAACAAGTTACAGCAGCCAGGTTCTATTTATACATGTAATTTTTTACAAGCTCCACTGTTATGTAAAAATATGCATTGAACAGGTATCAGAGACAGAAATCTAGGTTTCAAATATAAGAACATAGTTCACACGGAGAATATAAAACTGAACTAATAATTTCAAGAAATTAAAATTACATTTACTTGTTTTCTTCACCGAATGATATTTAATATAATTTTATTCTATGAAGATGAATGGAACGTTTTAATTAGGAAATATATATTCGACTGTTGTATATCTAAATAATTAATATTCAAACAAGCTTCATGCATTACTACATTTATGAAAATGAAAAGTAAATTGATAGAATGCCTTTGTTATTTGTAGGAAAAGTGAAAAATTCATCTAGAAGAGGAAGGATAGTTTTTACCGAGTTTCCAGGGATTGGCTGGCTCCAAATATCCCGTAACCAGTAGATTGTCATTCGCTGGAAAACTCACGCGACGCGGAGATGATTTCTTGGTGAAAGCTAATGAACTTCGTAATTTCTTTCCATCGATTAATATATAGGGCGAAAGGGGAACGTTTCCTGTGCCGAATCGTGGCCTCCTGGTATTGTACGATATCGTTCTCGGGGGAAGTTCCTCGAGATTGTCCTCAAGTTTCAAGGTCGTAAGCGAATTCTCGCATATCCGCGCCAACGAATCCGCTCCTTCGGTCATATTCAACAAATTTTTAACACATTTTCTCGGCCGGAAACTTTTACTTCACACCGTCCACATCACACACACGCACGCATATATACACCACAGCAATATGTCAATACGACCGTTCCAATGAATCGTTAACGCGCGTATCGAAGCAAACGTCAGCTACTTGTACATCACGTCCGCCATCTTTACTACCGTTTTACAAGTTGACAACTACGAAACTTAATTGCAACTAGAAACCTAAGTAACATTATACTCTATTACATATTCTAATATTTCCCCCGATACAATTGGGTTTCAAACGAAATATATTTAAAAATAATTTTTAAGTGTTCAATCTTTCCATTATGTTTTTATTGGTATATTGCAGAAATTCTGTTTCTACGTTTTTATTGCTATTGTTGCAAGTCTAGTGTTACGTCGAGATTCCGTCGGCATTGGTGAAAAGGATTTCCCTAGATTTACTCGGTTAGATTTTCCTCCGGAGGTAGCGTGCCGATCTGGCGGTGAATTTCCACGTAGCGCTGTCATCAGTGATGCCTGTTGCGATCTCCGCTGGTATGAATCTGTGTATTATGTGAAGTTAGCTCTAAGCATAGGGATATCAAGGTTTGATGTGAGAGCGAAATTCGAATTCCATTGTAACGGGGAGATTTATTGTAATAAACAACGAAATCGTACGCTTTTCAACGTGGGCGATCAAGCTGGGGAAGGTAGAGAGAAAGGAAGGCATTTCTTAGAGATACTTAGTTTATTTTCTAAAGGCCGTGTCGAATTCGAGTTTCCATCGTTCCTTTAGTTTATTGTTTAGTTATTACGGACCGTGCCGAATTAGCTATTTCCGTTAAGAGTTTCGAGGGTCTTGAAGCACAGCATGACCTTGCGATACTTCGCTTCGAGTTTCGTTTACTTTCACAAGGGTCATACATTTTCTTAAGGGTTGCTTAGCCCGCTAGCCTCGTTTTCTCTCTCGACTCCCACGCTCTCTCTCACGCGCGCCCACTCCAACATTGCCGCGTAACCTCCACCTCCACGCGGCTCGGGGGTGGATCATCGATCGAAGACGATCCGGAAGGATGGGGCAGGGCACAAACCCCGATTGGACCAGGACAATCCAGAGAGAGGATCGAGGAATATTCCGGAGAAGGGATGAACATCGAGGACGACGAGAAGATTTCCGCGGAGGAACAGATCGATTTTGAAAGTCAACCAAGTTGTATCTAAAAGTCGAGACGAAGACGAATAAATTTTACCAACCTATTTTCGAACATACTTAGTAGTTTTGATTTTTGCGCGCCTCGCCGAGCAGAGCGGTTCAGCGCTCCACGGGCACCAACCCACCGTCCTTTTTCCCTAAACCACGATCTCGGGACGCAACAAGAGGCCGGGACAGTGATGCCAGAAAAGCACCGTCGGGTGCACACCCACACATGCTAGATACGCGTACGTGAGCTCGTGGAGTTTCGGAAAGACGACAAAGGCAAACTGACGCATGCCCTCTTTCTCGATTCTCCGAAGCTGCCCGAAGTAATTTCGGACCGCTTCGTGGAAGTCCAGAGAGAAAGGCTCACATTTGCCTTCTCGCTCTTAACAACTGAAATCCGACCTCCCGTCAACGGCATACGATTTGGATTCTCGAGCCGAGATTCTCGACTCCCAGGCATTTTTACTTTCCGACCTATGTAGGCGCACATAAGCAAAGTACCCATAATGAAAAAAAAATTTTGTAAAATTTATTTTACGGAAATACACGTTTTAAGAACTCCTGATCATATTTTAATTATTGAAAAAAAATAAATTTTTTTTATTCCCATGTATGAGCGCACATGTGTATATTATTAATACGATTTTTGAAAATCAAAATACTTTAAGATTGAAAATTAATAAATTAAAATGAGATTCCACTCTTTACCAGTATTGTGCACGCTGTGGTATTTTTCAATAAGAAGAGAAATTAATTAATAATGATTTTCCTCGATTGTTTTGAGATAACCGTAACAATTTGTTATGACGAACTAAATAGAACTAACTAGAAACAAAGGAAAAGTGATCCCGTTTGCCAGTTTAATACAAAGTATGGGTTGGATCTTAAATTTTAAAAGGACATAGTCGAATATTTTTAAAGGTACAAAACATAGCGTTTCATTGTAGAACAGTAACATAAGTTAGCAGGTAATGTCATAAAACTGTTTTTCCCAGCTATATCCCTTTTTACCTGAAGTATAAGGTAAAAAGTACGAGCTACAAGGTACGACTATCCGAAAATCGTTCACATTTTATCAATGTAAATGAAGCGGCCTTTCCATCAGAGTTAAATACAAAATTTTGTTATTTCTGTGAAAACAAAACTTTCAGTAAATGTACGTGGTGCTTGAAATTTTTATGTTTTGACTGTTTTTGTGAAAAGTACCATCCAGATTCATGTACTTCGTACATTGAAAATAACATATGTTAAATGTAATCGGTTAAATTTAACTTTAAAAAAAAATATTCGAAGGTCAGACAAAAATATAATGTCATATTTAGTGTACGATTAAAGTATGATTGAAAAAATAAAAAAAAAAAGTTCAAGCAGGGTTCGAACCAGCAGAGCAGAAGAAGTTCGGAACTTGCAGGCAAAGACCTCATCACTCACGCCACGCTGATTAGTGGTGAACATAGTTCTATTTCTGAAAATAAGTACCTGTAATAACTTTAATAATATCTCAAAGTAAAACCTAACCCAAAACCTGGTACCATTCCAACTTTTCCTTGTTAGAAACGAGTTTTTCAATTTGTCTTAGCGAAAATCGCAATCACATTTTGCACATTATTCTAAAACATTTGTGGTATTCGTTTTCAATGCGATTTAAGTAAGCATGTAATGTATAAGATTTCATTTAATGTTTTCTTTTCTAGAGAAGATAGAGAAAAAGTTTATATAATTTTTTTTATATAAAATTTAATTCGTCCTAAGATTTATATGAAACATTTAAAAGATTTTTTATAAATTATGCCTATATATCGGAACAACTATGAAACAAGAGGTATAATCTGTAAGGAGTGTATGTGTGTGGCTAGGAGAACCGTTATCGTTTGCGTCGATAGGAGTGTTTAGTCTAAGCTAGAGTAGGTATCGAGTGAGGTGTTTAGGTTTAAGCTGAAATACGTTTTAGAGACTGCGTCTCGAACGTGCGTTTTGTTTAGATCATTATTATAAGATAGGAATAAGGAAGGGTCGACTTTGACTGCAGGAACGTCACTCTGTATCGAACGTTAGTCGAGAGCAATCACAGTTTTACGTTTACGTTTTATGTCTTTCTTTTATGTTCTTTATGTTAAATAGTTAGTAAATATTAAATAATATAATTACATCGTTACGTTTAGTGTTCACGTATTTGAATCCGTCCACACGCCTTTGAAATGAGAACATAAAACTTAAATGTAAAGTTTCATTTAAATTCATTCAGCTATTTATATTCAATCGTATTAATAATATACATATGTGTGCTCATACATGGGAATAAAAAAAATTTCTTTTTTTTCAATAATTAAAATATGATCAGGAGGTCTTAAAACGTGTATTTCCGTAAAATAAATTTTACAAAATTTTTTTTTCATTATGGGTACTTTGCTTATGTGCGCCTACATAGGTCGGAAAGTAAAAATGCCTGGGCAGTCGAGAATCTCGGCTCGAGAATCCAAATCGTATGCCGTTGACGGGAGGTCGGATTTCAGTTGTTTAGAGCGAGAAGGCAAATGTGAGCCTTTCTCTCTCGACTCCCACGAGGCGATCCGAAATTACTTCGGGCAGCTTCGGAGAATCGAGAAAGAGGGCATGCGTCAGTTTGCCTTTGTCGACTTTCCGAAACTCCACGAGCTCACGTACGCGTATCTGGCATGTGTGCGTGTGCACCCGACGGTGCTTTTCTGGCATCTCTGGTTGTATCTTAAATTTTAAAAGGACATAGTCGAATATTTTTAAAGGTACAAAACATAGCGTTTCATTGTAGAACAGTAACATAAGTTAGCAGGTAATGTCATAAAACTGTTTTTCCCAGCTATATCCCTTTTTACCTGAAGTATAAGGTAAAAAGTACGAGCTACAAGGTACGACTATCCGAAAATCGTTCACATTTTATCAATGTAAATGAAGCGGCCTTTCCATCAGAGTTAAATACAAAATTTTGTTATTTCTGTGAAAACAGAACTTTCATTAGATGTAGGTGGTGCTTGAAATTGTTATGTTTTCACTGTTTTTACGAAAAGTACCATCCAGATTCATGTACTTCGTACATTGAAAATAACATATGTTAAATGTAATTGGTTAAATTCAACTTAAAAAAAAAATATTCGAAGGTCAGACAAAAATATAATGTCACATTTAGTGTACGATTAAAATATGATTGAAAAAATAAAAAAAAAGGTTTTGTTTTGTCAGGGTTTGAACCTGCAGAGCAGAAGAAGCTCGGAACTTGCAGGCAAATACATCATCATTCACGCCACGCTGGTTGTTGAATTTATTTCTATTTCTGAAGATAAGTATCTGTAATAACTTTAATAATATTTCAAAGTAAAACCTAATCCCAAAATCGGGTACCATTCCAACTTTTCCTTGTTAGAACCGATTTTTCAATTTGTCTTAGCGAAAATCGCAATCACATTTTGCACATTATTCTAAAACATTTGTGGTATTCGTTTTCAATGCGATTTAAGTAAGCATGTAATGTATAAGATTTCATTTAATTTTTTCTTTTCTAGAGAAGATAGAGAAAAAGTTTATATAATTTTTTTTATATATAAGGCGTCGGGAAAAGACGAGGCCCAAGCCGAGGCGCTGGCAAGGGACCGCGTCTGGCCTTCGTCCGTCAACACTCCCACCCCTACCGATGGGGGAGAAGGCTGACGACAAAGGCGAGGGTCTAGGCCCAGGACGGGCTCATTTGTTTTTCCGACGCTGAAAGAACGGGAATAAAGCATGTATACGAATACCCTGCGTATTTCTTAATTCCTAATTCCATTCTACGCGTCTGTCTAACATATATAAAATTTAATTCGTCCTAAGATTTATATGAAACAATTAAAAGATTTTTTATACATTATGCCTATACATACATCGGAACTATGAAACAAGAGGTATAATCATTATTATCCATGGACTGATTATAGTCAAAGTCTAACCGGACTTTGAAATGAGAACATAAAACTTAAATGTAAAGTTTCATTTAAATTCATTTTGCTATTTATACTCAATCGTATTAATAATATACATATGTGTGCTCATACATGGTAATAAAAAAAAATTTCTTTTTTTTCAATAATTAAAATATGATCAGGAGTTCTTAAAACGTGCTTTGCTTATGTGCGCCTACATAGGTCGGAAAGTAAAAATGCCTGGGCAGTCGAGAATCTCTGCTCGAGAATCCAAATCGCATGCCGTTGACGGGAGGTCGGATTTCAGTTGTTTAGAGCGAGAAGGCAAATGTGAGCCTTTCTCTCTCGACTCCCACGAGGCGATCCGAAATTACTTCGGGCAGCTTCGGAGAATCGAGAAAGAGGGCATGCGTCAGTTTGTCTTTGTCGTCTTTCCGAAACTCCACGAGCTCACGTACGCGTATCTAGCATGTGTGAGTGTGCACCCGACGGTGCATTTCTGGCATCACTGACGCGCCCATTTGGTTGTCCAGGCGGCAGGGGAGGTAAACCCCTACGTGGCGGATAGGGGCAGCCACTGGGATGGGATGCGGGGATGAAGTCATCAACCTGAGAAGGCTGGTAGCCGCATCCTCGCATGGCATCCCGGAGGTCGGAGCGAAAGCAAATGTGTTGCGCGTGTGAATGTGTGTGTAAGTGGACTGAGACGTGGGATATTTGCCGCGGGTTTTACCTAAGGCTGCAGGTTGGCCAGTTAGCTGCGGGTGAGTCCTGCGGCTGGCGGCTTAGTCCCATGGTACGGGGCCGCGGGCGCTGGTGACCAGGCGCCTGCGGTTGAGTGGGAATGCGGTGGGAGGAGTGCCTTTCACCGGGAGGGGCCTGAGAAGGCACGACGCGGCGGGGGACTCTGTGATGGCTCACTAAAGTTCGCGGTTCCTCACTAGGCGCCTGAGGATGGTCACCGTGGGGTTTTAGCCGGTAAGAGTCCGGCACTACCCGCCGGCCCTGCCTTCGGATGTAGTCAATAAAATTTGAGCCCGTTGAAGCCGTGAAAGAAAAAGTAGCTCGCGTCCTGAAGGAGCTGACAGAAGAAGACTTCCAGCACTGTTTCGAACAATGGAGTATTCGCATGGAGCGTTATAGGGATAAAGGAAGAGTGTATATTGAAGGTGACAATAAGTAAATATGTATGAAATCAAAATAAAATGTTTTACAGTGTCAGTCCCGTTATTTAATAGCCACACCTCGTATCCTAATATCCAAATATGAATTCTTATAACCTAGTGGCTCTCCGATTTCGTATCGGATTCGTTCGTTCATCTTACTAACAAATTAATACCATATTCCACACCTCTCGCACTCGCAGGCTACGCGCACTGCACGGCCCTGGCTCGTAACATTCGCTAAAAAAAACTTTCGAAATTTGTCTTGTTATACCCACAAAGATCGGAAAGTAAAAATGCTAAGGCAGTCGGGACTCGAAATCGTATGCCGATTGTCGCAAGGTCGAATTTCAGCTGTTGTAAGAGCAAAAAGGAAAGGCTTAGACTTACCTTCTTTCTCGATTTCATCGTTTCTCGGCAAAGTGATAAGGACATTTTTTGTTCCTTGGATGTCATTATAAATGATCCTGTAACAATTTGTCATTTCCAGGCAGGGCCAAAAATGACCATTCTCTACCTAACTTCCTTTTCAAATGAACATCCTGTATACATAACTTAAATGATAAATTTAAAATCTTGTATTGAAAAATGTTGAATTTTGAAAAGTTACTATTTCCTTAGTATTTTATTTATAATACGAAGTTACAAATTCGTATTATTATTAATGTAAAGATAGTAATAAATGATGTAAAAATGCAAAGTAAATAAATAGATGATAAAAATGATAATTGATTTCTTTTAATAATTAAATTTTAATAAAAATATGGGTTTAAAAAAATCACTTCATAATATATCAGTGTTAAAAACGTTGCAGTTTTGGAAACATATTAACTATATTTGTGCACAATATTATTCAGTATGAGATTTTTTTTTTTTCTTTTTTTTTTCACCGCTTTCCTCGCTTGGAAGTACAATTTCTTTAGTCTCTTGAAGAACTTCTGTACTTTTTAATTCTGGTTTAACTTTCTTCTTCTTCTTTTTCTTTGTTTGTTCTGCAACAAGAAATTTGTACAATGTTCTTAGAAATTAGGTTTTACGTTTATAATTCAATTTTTTTTTTTTATTTTTATTAAGTTTACTTTTTCCTTCAAAGGTCATTAGCAGTCACAGTTACTATTTACATTTATATGAATTACAAGATTATTAAAAACAATTTAATAGATTAATATGCTTCAAGGTTTACTACATTAGAACATAACTCTTTCTTAACCTTTCAGCGGACACGGCTGTGTACGGAGTACACGACTTAGTTTCGCGACATAGTCTTTCGCCAAAAACTTTTTTTCCTGTGATCGGATCGATTTTTTCTATTTCTTATTTGAATGTTTTTTTCCATCTATTTGACCCAAAAGTTAAAATTTCATAACATCAACGCCGCGTGTACGGAATACGAAAAAGGGCGCTTGTTTTACGATAAAAATCGTGCCTGCCGGAGGGTTAAGGACTTCTTTTAACCCCTTGCACTATTTTCCTGAGTCTGATTCGTGATGAAAATTTTAGGCTAAACTTGAATATCACGAGTCAGACTCGTTGTTTAATTTCACATCAAACGTGAATAACACGAGTCTGTCAAGATCCGATATTCGAGCTCCTTCCGATCATTATGGCGTATGGGTTAGGCACGGCTTCTTTTGAATTTCAGCATAGTGCAAGGGGTTAAACACCCATTTATGTAATATAAGTTCCTTTCATAATACAATGTACAATGCAAATGTTTAAGTAAACAAAAATTCTGGAAAAAATATAATATAAAAATTTTTTAATGTAAAACTAACCTTCATCCAACGTTGTGGAAACTTCTAATTTTTCGTCTTTTATAAGGGATGTACTACAAGACCCTTCTTCCATTGTCTCGAACTTAGCTTTCTTTTTCTTCTTCTTCGGCAATGGTGTACTTTCTTCCTCCAACTTCACTTGAATATCTTCTGGTGTAACTATTAGCTCCTCTGTACTCTCAATGTGTTGTCTTTTTTTCTTTTTTTTAGGTATTTCTTCATCTTGTGTTGCAGAAATTTCCTCAATCAATGGTTTTTTATCTTCAATTTCTGAATGCCATCTTTTTCCACTTGGAAGTGTTGTATCGGCAGCTGTAGGATAGTGAACATATTCACTCTTAGCTTGATATTTTTCAAACTTCGCTTTTGCTTTACACGTTCCACTTATTCTGCGAAGATTTCCTTCTTCTAATATTCTCAAACGTGCTTCTAATTTAACCTTGTGCTCAGCACCAAGATCAAAATTTGCATCCTCTCCTAATGCATCTACTCTAGTTGCTAATGATGCTTTGGCCGCCAACATTCTGGACATCTTTCCCTTATTTTTAATCGAAGATTGTCCAACAAGTTGTGCATGATATATTAAGCCATATTTAGGCGTATCTTTTTTCGTTTTCAATGCTCGAAATAAAGCTTTTTCAGCGCCAAGTATTTGTACAGTAGAAGCTGGATGTTTAGCAAGGTTAATTAAAGAACCAGCATGCGAAATTAAGCGAGCTCCTACTAATTCTCCAACAAGTACAGTTAAATTTGGTGCCATTGCCATCATTCTTGCTTTAAGATAATCATATAACTGTGCTCTGTATTGCGAAATTTCGATAACTTGATCACATAGATGTTGAATATTTAAAATATCATCTTCAGATATTTCAGTTCCCATAGATATTTGAGCAGCTTCTTTCACTTTTTCCTCTACATCTTCTGGTAATATATCGGATAAATCCGAGTTTCTAGTATTTTCTCTGGTTCCAATAACTTTTACCGTTTTCACGAATGCTACGTTATCCATAATGATTTTTCCAAGTTCTGGAAAGTGCCAGCCATACCATTCGCGACAACGCATTACATAATTATTTAATTCCTTGTCTAAATCGTCCAATAGACAAACAGCTTGTATTATCATAGTATCAATTTTGTCAGGTGAAAATTTCAACTTATATCTGGATAGACTGTGTGCTAAACCCAATGCCATTGCTGTCATTTCTTTCTTTGGTAGTCCAACCAACAAACTATCGATTTGACTTCGTATACATCTCATTAACTCTTGTATAGCAGTATTGCTGACACAAGACAAACTAAGTTTATCCTTTATGGCATTGCCCAATTTAGCGTCGGCAACAGCTAATTGTTCTTGAAACTCTGCACAATATTTTTTTAGAATTTTTTTTAACGATTTACAAAGTTTACCTTCTACTGCGGCCGTAGTCGCTGCTAGAGCTTCAGTAGTATCGGCAAACTTTTCAAAATGCTTCAATTTAACTCTACAAAGTAAAAAGAAAGTTAAATAAATATATATTTACAAATAAACACATACAGTCAATCAAAAAAGTCTCCGTACACCGCTCTAAAATTTATTGAACACTGTATATTAGTCAAGAAGGAGGTCAGAAATAAATAATCTTTAAGTTATTATATTCAGAAACATAACATTTATTATTAGTAAGAAAGGAAAGGGCATACATACATTTATTAACGGAATATAATGGGCGAAAGCACAAACGTGACAAAAATGTGGTAAAGAAAGTCTCTGTACATATAAATTTATTAACTACAGTTTTTTAATTAATAATCAGTGGGTCCTCCTTTTAGTGTAATAATTTCTTGCAACCTTTTTTGTATGTTACATACCAACTTTTTAGTTAAATCTGGTTGAATGTTATTCCATTCTAATAGTATTTTGATGTCAAATCTTTCTTGTTTTTAATATTGTACTTTTAAAATTTTCTTTTCATTTCGCCCCATAAATGTTTAATAGGGTACAACGTTTAGTGATTGGGGAGGCGTATGAAGCCGCTTTGGGACATTATACAGTAACCATTCTTTTACTGTCTTTGCTGTATGGTTAGGTATTTATCTAAATTTAATTTTAATACAGTACGGGTCAAATTTTCTTTCAATACGTTCAAATAAACATTTTGATCCATAGTACCATCAATAAATGTCATGTATTCAACTCCCACAGCACTCATACACCCCCAAACCATCACGCAGCAGCCTCCATGTTTAAATATTCGATACAAATGTTTAGGTTCCATTTGCGTGTTTGGTTTTCTCCAAAGTTACTTTAGAATATACTTTCATCATTGAATATTACATTATTCCATAAGTTTTGGTCTTTGTTAATATATAAATATGCGAAATCTAATCGCTTCCGTTCGTTAACTTGGCTTATAAAAGGTTTTCGCCTAGTTGTACGGCCAATGTAACCTGTTTTCCTTATTACATTTCGTATTGTTTTGAGCATTACTTGTATATTATAATCAGTTTCTATCATTGATGTCAATTTTGGATCACTAGTCCATGGATCAGATCTAATTGTTCTTAAAATGGCACGCTTATGGCGTGATCCTAATTTTTGAGGTCTCCCCGTTCGTCTTCGATTTTGATTTGATCCTGTTTCATTGTATCTCTGGCAAATATATTGTAGACGATGACTTTTTTTACAATTTGTGCAATTTTTTTCTATGTTGCATCTTCTTCTCTTAATTCAACAATTAAATCTCAAATCACAACAGGGATTTCCATTTTGAAGAAAATACACACAATATCAACTTTCTGTTTGCTAGCACTCAAAAAACTAACTTATTCTTAACTTTGGAGTATTGTTCCAGTCTTGTTTGTAAACATTCTGCGAAATTTTTAGAACTAGACTGTTAAATATTTCTTTGTATGGAGACTTTTTTGACCACATTTTTGTTACGTTTGTGCTATCGTCCACTATATTCCATTGATAAATGGATGTATACCCTTTCCTTGCTTATTAATAATAAATGTTATGTTTTTCAATATAATAACATAAAAATTATTTATTCCTGACCTCCTTCTTGGCTAATATACAACGTTCAATAAATTTTAGAGCAGTGTACAGAGACTTTTTTGATTGACTGAATGTATACATCTTGTATAATACTTATATATTAAAAATTTGCAGTCTAATTATTATATATTAGTAATAGTAAAGAAATATTGTTTTCATATTATAACATAAAATAATACAAGCAAATATTATTTACTTTACACATATTTTTATTATAGGAGGTTACATCTTCAGTATATTGTTCAACTAAAATGCACTACTTCAATATATGTTAAAATATGATTAAAACTATTAACCTGTTTGATATGGCAAGCTTGAATGCAAATATGCTGCTGCTGTATAGGGTAGCTAAGACGTCAACATATGTTTCATTGAAAACAAAACCTAACATCTGATACTTCCTTGCGTTATATAAATTATTGATTTCTTATGCAAGTTGTGTTGGACTACTATATAGAGTTACTTAACTATTATAAAAAATTATTTAATAATATACGCAAAATTTTAACGGATATCCATAGTTACTGTTCATATCAAAAGGGTTAAGTAAAATGTCCATTCGTTTGAGTAAACTCTTAAACACTTACTAAATTATAATTAGCAGTACCAATAATTTACAAAAAAAATTAGTAGCTGTATAAATATCTTGCTTTATTTCAGAAATAAGAATTCTAAAAGTTAACTTACATTTTGCTAGCTGCTTCAGGAGATTCAAAGTTATGATAAAGATTATCCACCTCTGTCAACTTATTTTCATCAAGTAACTACGAAGAGAAACGATTAAAATAATATAATTCATATTTATAATTATTCTTGTAACGCATATGTCATTCGTATGAAAATAAAAATTACTTAAAATGCACACACGTGCAATATTCTTAAGGTTATGGTGCACGTTATCATTTACCTTGAAGATAGCATATCCCGCTGGTGTTTCAAATAATACCAACATTTTGATTTCTTTTTATAAAACTGTTGTATTAATAATTATTTGATGATGTTCTCATCTGCAATACAAAATTAATCGCATATCATCATGCACTATTCGATAATTTTGAATAACTAAGGTTTGCGCAATAAACACTCAGATCAAGCAAGTTGGCACACTTATCAAAAGTTAGATACTCCGTTTCGTGATATAGAGTGTAACGTCGTTCGCGTAGTATACGTTCCTCCCACTCCGACCCATTGTCCCTGCATTGCGTATAGTTAGTTAACGGATAGTAAGTAACTAGATTGTGGAAACCGCTCGCAACATCACTAAATGTTGCGTCCCGATCTCGCGGTCTGGGGAAAAGGAGGTGGGTTGGTGCCCGTGGAGCGCTGAACCGCTCTGCTCAGCGAGGCCGCCTTCCGAGGAACTTCCGAGTGGAGTTTGAAGTTTCCCTTAATGACCGTAACGTAGTTTGCTAAATAAAAAGGTTTTGAAATTCTAATCCTCAAAAATAGCGGAGAAGTCACGTCTGTATCGTAAACCCACCGATCTTGAACACAGTCCTTAAGAAAGTTTATGACTCCTTCGGAGAAAATGAACCAAGTATGTCTAAGAAATGCCTTTTTTTCTCTCTTGACCCTTGACTTTCCCTGCTTGATCGACCACGTTGAATACAATAGCATTGTACATTATAATATGCTAGTCCGTTTGAATTTTGCTCCCAATTTGAATGTAGTTACATGATCCTGCACTCGATGGTGGTTAATGGAGTTTCAATAAATTCCCGTTGCGGCGCTATATGTATTGTTACGCTATCGCGTGAATTTAGGTTTAGTACATATTGCGCCGCGACGGGAATTTATGGGAACTCGATTAATAACCATCGAGTGCGTGATCATGTAACTCCATTAAAATGCGGATATACGTGAACCTAGCGCAGGCTTGTTTATACTTGGTGTTCGATTTATTAGCGACGCTAATTATATATAAGAGGTACTCGTCGATCGAAAAGTTCAAGGTCCCCGAAATTGTTGTATCAAACATCAAAGGTTCTGATAAAAGTATCGCATCTGTACTTATATTGGGGTATATATTTGTTAACATGGTTGCATCTAAATGTTTGAAAAAATTTTAACGAAAATTCATATTTGAATTCTATATTCTTGTCTTAAGATTTGACTCGATTTTTAGTAAAATCGGCCTGCATAAATGTTTTTCAACCCATTAATTTTAGTTATTCTTAAATGGATTTAATTAAAATATGTTTACGTCTAAAGGCGCACCATAATTTTAGAAAATTTGATAAAAGAGGATACAGGAAAAGTTGGAGGGTTAATATGCGTGACCTTTAATTGGAAACCATGACAGCTAATCGATTAAGTATACTAATGAAAATTCTGTTTTGTCTAAATAAATATTATCTTAAATTAGAATAGTATTAAAGCGATGTTCTGAAAAGTAATATGACGTATTTTCTGTTAATTTATATTTCATATAAAATGTTCTTAGGCAGAGATTTTATTATTGTCCTCATTTTTGTATGTAATATGTGTTTTAACGCATCTTGTGATTTATAGTAACTAAACCAGGATACGATGTCAATGATTCTATTTCGAAATAAAGTTGCATCGATCGATACGCGTACTTTAAGATTTTGTAGCGTGCAGTCTATAAATAATCGCAAGTAATAATATTAATTATATTATATAGTGCACATGAGCATTTAACGAATGCGACAAATATTGTAAGCATTTGAATCTAACGAATGGTAAACGATTAACTTCTAAAGATTTGCAATCAATAAATTTAATGCGTACGTAAATGAGATAATAAGCAATAATCATTGCAGAAACTGATTTTTCGAGAGGCATTTTATTATACAACAGAGATATTTTCTTTTTAGGTCAAAAAATTAAAAAGGTATTATAGTAACTGTCATCTGTTAAAACAAGTGCACAGACTTATCATTGAAGAGATATCGCGTTTATTTTGGTTATAAACAGTAATATGACAAAAATATAACTATACGCATGCGCACACATGCACAAACGCACACGTACAGAAAGAGAATGAGAGAACGAGAGAGAAAATTGCTGACAATATGCAAGAAAACCAAGATATAATTTATTTATTCATCCTATTTACAGGGTGTTTATCTTACACATCCCAATATCTTTTTTAATAGTGTGTGCGTGCGTGTGTGCATGGTTTCATTTTAATCTTTCTACATGGTTTCTCAAACATACACGTTTCAAATGATAATTATTGTTTCAAGAGATCTATCAAAGTCACCTTCATTTTTTAAATAGAATTGTATACTACATTCTAATTCAATACGTAGTTTATGGTACGGCAAATCTAATGACCTGTAATATTATATAAGTAATTCAAAGTAATCTAAAGTCATTAAACAACTAAATGGCTTACGAGAATCTAAAGCATTTTTTATTTAAGGGGGGAGGAACGCAGGAGTTCTGTCAGACTTTTATTAAATAAAAACCACACGGTGACCTACCCCAGGCGTGTTGAGAAAGACCCTGGGAACCCCGAAGATGAGACAAGGTGTCTCTCCACGTCTAGTTGTTCCGCCATCTCGAGGAACGGACCGTCTCGCTCTCCCGACGTTGTGTGGTGCAACTCTACACATCGTCACTGTTAACTCCGTATTTAGTTCGCGGAGTTGAATTATGTAGCAAATCAATTCCTTTTGATTTACAAAACAATTTTATTCAATAGACAGTAACAATAACAACAGATATTTAACTATTCCGATCACTTGTAAGGTGATCTAGTAATATAGTCCAATTGTAAGATGATATCATTAATAATGTCCAAATTTAACAAGTAAAGTTCCATTCGCGTCAAGTGCGAAAACCAAGTTCAAAAGTCCAAGTTTTTTGAGAAACCGTGTTCTGAGAATACAAGTAATTCTGTTGAAGATGCAATTGATTCTGTTGAGAATGCAAGCAATTCTTACGAATGTCTAAATAATTCTGGTGAGAATTCAACTAACTCTGATTTTGTCCAATGTCCGGTCTTAGAGGAAGATTCCGAACCTCCCTCTCAGCGCCTTCTTGGAGACGTCAATGTTTGGATTGGGCCTTGTTCTGCCCAATTCAAATTTTGGACAGTTTTTGGATTGTGCAGCGCCCACAACCTGGTTTGTTTCATTCTGCAAATCAAGGTCTGTAGGACGTTGCACAATCCCTGGGTTAGTTTATGACCAATTCTTTATTCTTACAGTGACTGTCCTAGTCCTGGTGGCCAACACGTGAGGGTTTGCATTACGTCAATTGCCATCGAGGGTGGTCTAACCGGGGACCGTTTCCAGAGAAATCTGAAACCGGCATCCGGCCAGACCTCGTCCTTTAGAAGTTACATGCAGTCCGTGAAAAATTGCAACTTCCTCAAAAACGGCATAACTATCTCGCAGAAGGAGGCCACCACTTGCCATGCCCTCTCGCTGGCCACCATCTTGCCAACTACTGTGGCCAGCGAGAGGTTCCTTCCAACTTCCTGCTGCAGGGCACGGCGCTCATCTACCCATGCTGGGCAGACTTCCAGCGTGTGCTGCACCGTGTCCTGAGGGTCTCCACAATGGTGGCACAACGTCGTCGCCTCCTTCCCAATTCGACACAGATACTCCAAAACAACCATGCCCGGTGAGCACCTGTGTCATCCTATAGGACAGCCTACCCGGTATGTCTCTTGCCAAAGTGGCAGGACTGCAGCAACGGACCGTTGTGTGGCTCCACCACCTTGTATGAGTTGGTGGAACCACACAAACAAAACGGTCCGTTGAGCACGGCACCTCGTCGCCTCGACCGCTTGCCTCCTCTCCTCTGATGGTCTGCCGGCCTCCCGGAGTTTCCTGGAGTGCCGGTAAACTTGCCGGTTTCTCCAAGCTAGCAGCTCCAGGGGCGGGAGATACGCCAGGGTAGTCGCCGCCTCGTAGGAGATGGTGCGATACCCTCTAATAACTCGGATGGCCAGCCGACGGTTGACGCGGCGCAGCATCTCCGTACTGCGCCGGCTGGCATCCAAGTTCAGGGCCCAAACTGGGGCCCCGTAGAGGGCGATTGAACGCACCACCTCCACGTAGAGGCGGCAGACTCCAACATCGGGCCCCCCGATATTCGGGAGAAGATGACCTAGAGCGGCAGCCGCTTTCTCCACCCGGAGGGCCAAGCGGTCGAAATGCTCGACGAAGCGCCACCGGCGGTCGAGGATCAGGCCCAGATACTTCATCTGGGCCTTCACCTCAACGTAGGCTGTCCCAACTCGGATCCGCAGGCCGGCCGGTGGCACCCCACGGGGGCCAAGTCTTTGAAAGTACATGGCCTCCGTTTTCTGGGGCGCCACGTCTAGGCCCAGCCTGCAGATTTCGGCAACGACGGTGGCCACCGCCACCTCCGCGACGCGCGCTGTCCCTCTCCAGTCTGACCCGCTGAGGAGCACCAGCGTGTCATCGGCATAACGCGCCAGCGCTACGACAGCAGGCAGAGGGGCCCACAGTACTGAGACGTACCCGATGTTCCATAGCAGGGGTTCTAAACCGACCTCTGTGGAACACCGCGTACGACCCCCCTCCGCATGATTACATCATCCCGGCCGGTGCGATCCACCTGTCGCTAAGGTAGGACCCGACTATCCTCTTCAGGTATGGGGGCACACGATGATACTCTAGTGCCCCCATAATCGCCTCCCAGGGCAGAGTGTTAAAGGCATTGACGATATCCAGAGATATCGCCAGAACCACCCTACGCCGCAAGGTGGCCACCTGAGAGAGGCAATGGACCAACTTGATGGCATCTAGCGTGGACTGTCCCTCTCTAAAGCCGAGTTGGCAGGGGGCCCAGTCGGGTCCTACCGTGGACAGGTGGTTGGTGAGGCGGTCAGCCACAATGCGTTCAAAGAACTTGTACGCCTCATCCAACAAACACAATGGCCGGTATGCGGAGGGCGTACCTGCGGGCCTTCCTGCCTTCTGGAGAAGGACCAGCCGCGCCGCCTTCCATGGCGAGAGAACCCGCCCGGGACATTTGGAGGACTTAACCGTGGCCACGGTACCAATCCACGGTGCCACAAGGCCTACCGGCACCCGGAAGCCTCATCTGTGGCCAAGTAGCTAACCCGCGG